CCATTTTCTAAATTATTTATACTTCTTTTACTTGCATCATCATTGTCGGTCACTTGTAACTGTTGGTCACTTTCTCTGAATTTTAAAGCAAAAACCATCAACTTCGTAAAACTAATGTGTAACGGTGAGAAAGAGATTTTTTTTTCCCATCAAAAAGATTCCTTTTTTACTAATAAAGAAACTAGAGTTGATAATTTTTCAGGTTTCAAATGATCTCAATAAAAAATTGTATCCATTCCAGAAATCCAACATAATTTTTTATCCGGTTTTTGTCTTTTCTCCATGTTTCTTGTTTCTGCAAATGTTTTTTGTTCAGGAAAATAACAAGCTTTGATATGGCATGTGATCGTCAAAGGTTCTATCTTTGTGTTTTGTTATGTTTATGTACAGTAACTTATGGTACTACAGATCCCAATGACTTGAAAATCTTGAATGATTTCAAGCAAGGATTGGGTAATCCAGAGCTGCTTAAATGGCCTGAAACTGGAGAAGATGACCCTTGTGGTCCTCCTCCTTGGCCCCATGTTTTCTGTTCCGGTGAGAGAATTGCTCAAATTCAGGTTCAAAATCTTGGTCTCAAAGGACCTCTTCCACAAAACCTCAACCAGCTTTCAAAACTCTTCAATTTGGGGCTTCAAAAGAATCATTTTAATGGTAAATTACCAACCTTTAGTGGTTTATCAGAGCTGGAGTTCGCTTACTTGGATAACAATGAATTTGATACTATTCCAGCTGATTTTTTTGATGGATTGAGCAGTGTTCGAGTCTTGGCTTTGGATTACAATCCGTTTAACAAGACTACTGGATGGTCTATTCCTGTGGAATTGGCTAATTCATTTCAGTTGACAAATCTTTCTTTGGTGAACTGTAATGTGGTTGGTCCATTGCCTGAGTTTCTAGGGAAGTTGCCATCTCTTGCAGCACTTAAACTTTCTTATAACAGATTGTCCGGTGAGATTCCGGCGAGTTTCGGTGAGTCTTTGATGCAGATTTTGTGGTTGAATGATCAAGATGGTGAAGGGATGACTGGTACCGTTGATGTTGTTGCTAATATGGTGTCTTTGAAGCAGCTTTGGCTTCATGGGAATCAATTCTCTGGGACAATCCCTGAGAATATTGGGAATTTGACATCTTTGAAGGATCTGAATCTCAATAGGAACCAGCTTGTTGGCTTGATTCCTGGGAGCTTGGCTGATATGAGGCTTGATAACTTGGTTCTGAACAACAATCATCTGATCGGTCGAATACCGAAGATAAAAGCCGGTAACTTTTCTTATGATTCAAATTCATTTTGTCAATCTAAACCCGGTATTGCTTGTGCTCCTGAAGTTGATGCACTTTTGGACTTCCTTGATGGGATGAATTACCCTATGAATCTTGTTTCTCAATGGTCTGGTAACGATCCTTGTGCTGGTCCATGGATGGGATTGAGTTGCAACCGAAATTCTCGGGTTTCTATCATCAACTTGCCTCGACGTAATCTTAGTGGTACACTTAGTCCTTCACTTGCAAAGTTAGAATCATTGATGGAAATTAGACTACAGGGAAATGATATCCATGGTACGGTTCCTGAGAACTTCACTGATCTGGGAACTCTGAGAACTTTGGATATAAGCGAAAACAATCTTGAGCCTCCGTTGCCCAAATTTCATGACAGCGTGAAGATCCTCATCGAAGGAAACCTGCTGTTGATCGGTAATCATACAAGAGAACCTCCTTCCCCTACTAGGACCAACAGTCCTGCACCTGCAGAATCTCCTCCAAGTGGTCGATCAGGTGGTAAAGAGTCACCACCATTGAGAAGAACACCGTCCCCGAATGGAGCTACCAAAACTAAGTCATCTACCACCACTGTCAGACAACCGGAGTCCCGATCCAATGGTTTCCAAAGATTCAAACTGCTAATTGTGGCAGGTACTGCAACCATTGCTATTATGGTTCTTTTAGTGGTTCTGTTTTATATATTCTTTTGTAAGAAGAGAAAAAGAGCTTCTGAGGTGCCTAGTTCAATTGTTGTTCATTCGAAAGATCCATCCGATCCCCAAAACATAGTTAAGATAGCTGTTTCCAATAACACCAGTGGAAGCCTATTTAGTAAAACTGTAACAAGCTCAAGTTGTAGTCATAGTGGTGCAACACAAAAGTCTCATGTAACTGAGTCCGGAAACTTGGTCATTTCTGTTCAAGTACTTCGGAAAGGGACCAACGATTTTTCCAGAGAGAACGAGCTTGGTAGTGGCGGGTTTGGGACCGTTTACAAGGGTGTACTTGAAGATGGAACTCAACTAGCAGTTAAGAGGATGGAAGCTGGGATCATAAGCAATAAGGCATTGAATGAATTTCAATCCGAAATAACTGTTCTATCTAAGGTCCAGCATCGGCATCTGGTTTCTCTTTTGGGTTATTCCATTGAAGGTAGTGAGAGGCTTCTTGTCTATGAGTTTATGTCTCAGGGTGATCTAAGCAAGCATCTGTTCCATTGGAAGAGCTTAAAATTGGAACCTCTATCTTGGAGAAGGCGGCTTAGTATTGCATTGGATGTTGCTAGAGGAATGGAATATCTTCATAACTTGGCTCGACAAACTTTTATACACCGAGATCTCAAATCATCCAACATCCTTCTAGATGATAACTTTCGAGCAAAAGTTTCGGATTTCGGTTTGGTGAAACTTGCCCCAGACGGAGAGAAGTCCATGGCAACTAGACTCGCCGGAACATTCGGATACCTAGCACCTGAATATGCAGGTTAGTAATCCAAGTTTGCATTGCAGGTGAATCTTTTATTCTATTATTTACATTTTAGCTTCTTAATGTTCTAATAATTCTTGTTGGTTGCAGTGATGGGGAAAATCAGTACTAAAGTTGATGTATTTAGCTATGGGGTGGTGTTGATGGAGCTAGTGACTGGATTAACAGCACTTGATGAGGGGCGCTCGGAGGAAACCCGTTACTTGGCTGACTGGTTTAGGAGAATCAAATCGAAGAAAGACAAGCTTTTAGCCGCAATCGATCCAGCTCTTGAAGTGAATGAGGAAACCTATGAGAGCATTGCCACCATAGCTGAACTAGCAGGCCATTGCACCGCAAGGGAGCCTTATCATCGGCCCGACATGAGCCATGCCGTGAATGAGCTAGCACCTTTAGTTAAGAAGTGGAAGCCGGTCGATGATGAATCAGAGTGTTACTCGGGCATTGATTACAACCAGCCACTTCCCCAGATGTTGAAGGTTTGGCAGGCGGCTGAAAGCCGAGGCGTGAGCTATACAAGTTTGGATGATAGCAAAGGAAGCATCCCGGCAAAACCTACTGGGTTTGCGGACTCCTTCACATCGATCGATGGTCGATAATGGCAGGCAAGCCTATGCCCTACAAGCAAAAAATTATGGTTTTTGAGCCATGGAACATGTCTATCATGATAGTGTAGATAAGAGAGTACATGTTTTTCCATATTTGTTCATAATTTCTGTGTATCAATTTATATTTTTCATTGCTGTGTAAAGGCAACTTAATGCCACAAATACCTGGTCCTGGAATAAAACATATATATGTTCATTAAAGGATTCCTACTAGTTTTTTTTTTTATTCAAGTCTTACTAAACTTAAATTGATGCTTGATTCCTTTTACACTAATATTATATCCATCAGTTCTCGCAAGTCAAATGATGAAACATAATCTGGAGTTTATTGTCAAACCTTGATCATCATTCCGTGAGACTTTTGTAGGAGAAATTGCCACTTGTTCTTGCAAGAGAAAATAACTTCATAATAAGAAAAAGCCACTGTTCTTTCTTTTTGAAGGAAAAGCAGAAGGTAAGTCATTGTTATAATCCTGTCAAAGATGAACACTTGATTTTATGTTAGGATGAACACATGATTTTACGTTAGGACGATGAACTTTAAAATTTTAAGAGATAATAAATTTAAGGAGTAAAAACAGATAAAAAAAACTTATGATATATAATTTATTTAAAATATTCAGGGGACGAATGACCTCGATCCATCCCTAGTCATATAAAAGGTGTCAATTTCCTTATTTATGTGTAACCAAACCCAAGGGATAATGCTGGTTTTCCTCAGCCTACCATTCTTTTAGTCAATCTGGTGACTGCAATTATTCAAAACGGTACCAAATTATTGGTGAAATCACGAATAGAGTAGCATTCATTCATGGACATGGCGCCGGCTATGACTCTTTTTGGTTACCATTGGGAAACCCATGTGCCCACCCCATGACCCAAGCTTCTTCCCGTTTAACTTGTGACCCCACTCTGCTTTCTTTTTTCATTCAATGAACTAATTTCAACTATACCTTGGTCATGTTTCAAGGCAAGTAAAGCTAGATTGTTCGATTTTAACATGTTATGTATTAAAAATAATATTTAAAATCAAGCTGTAGTGTTTATTGTTCAGCTTTAACATATTATGCATTAGAAATAATATGAGTTAAAAAAAACAAAAGTCTAAAATTACAAAACTGTTAAGTTGGAGGGACCGAAAAGTTATTGTACCATAAATAAATAAATAAGTCAATCAAGTTCTACTTTTACCTTTGGTTAACTACTAACCGTCTTGTTTAGTTACTTAACCACCGCTCTCTCTGCATACAAAAATTGTTAACTGAAAACAAAATTTAAAATAGTATAAACTACATGCTTAGTATCTCAGTTATTGTTTTTGTTTTATTAGTCACTTAATTATTATATTTTTTAAAATAATAGTCAACTTATGTTTTGATTTTATTTTGATCACACGTAGCTAATAACGTAACGGAACTACTAACCTGAATTCTTTTAATTTTTCAATGAAAATGTGATATTATCTTACGGTGACACTAGATATGATTTTAAAACAAAAAATAGTTAGATGACTTAAATGGAACAAAAGTGATAGTTGAGATACTAAATATGTAATTTACGCTTTAAAATAATTTCTCTTTTGGTTTCCTGCTATTGAGTGAAGTGAAAGAGAAAGCCTTCGAGCTCAACCGCATGTAAGAAAGGAGAGAATCGTAAACGAAGATTACCTCAGCTTTGAGAAATGATGATCGTTTAAAACGTTTTCTTCTTTAATTTTTGTTGAAACGCATTGGCAGCATTGAAATTGAAGCGAAGAATCCGGCAATGTTGTGGAGATCCCGAGAAAAAAAAATGTTTTAAGACGAAAATGAGTTGACGTTCTTTTCCTTCAATTTTATTTTTCTCTCCTTAATCGCTCCTTTTGTTGGAAACGTCGATTTGGAAGGGGAAAAGTCGAGCAAAGAGTTAAAAGCAATGGAGTCTCGGATGGATCAGTACGAAATTATGGAACAGATCGGCCGTGGTGCTTTCGGTGCTGCCATTCTCGTTCACCACAAATCCGAGAAGAAAAAGTATCCTTCTAATTTCTCATCTAATAACATACATTTGTGTGTTTTCTTTTTTTCATTTTTGGTGATCTTTTCAAAAAATTCAGGTATGTGCTGAAGAAGATCAGACTAGCGCGGCAAACGGAGCGTTGCAGAAAATCTGCACATCAAGAAGTTAGTTAACTTATTTTGTTTAAATAATTTAATCTGTAATAGAGAGTATCGATTTACAAGTTGTAATTTGGTTCGTATATTGTGGATTGTAGATGGCTCTTATTGCGCGAGTTCAACATCCTTGCATTGTTGAGTTTAAGGAAGCTTGGGTTGAGAAAGTAAGATACGATACTACTCTTTTTGTTTTGTTTTTCTCTAGGATTCTGCAATTGATATCATCTTTTAAATAATAGCTTGTTCAGTACGTGGCTGCCTTTTATTGATGTTGAATTTGAATTTTGTGATTGTAATGTAGGGTTGCTTTGTTTGCATTGTTACTGGATATTGTGAAGGTGGCGATATGTGAGTTTCCAAGCTTCTTGAGGAGAACTTTGCTTTTCAATTGCCCCAACTTTTGCAATGTGTCAATATTGTTCGTTTCGTTGTTCTTTTTCTCACAGGGCAGGATTGATGAAAAAGTCAAATGGGGTCCATTTTCCGGAGGAGGTAATCTAATTTCTCTATACCTGTTGATTTCACTAGTTTGTTAATGTTTTATGATGTTAACACTGATGATTGTATCACTGCAGAAACTCTGCAAGTGGTTTGTGCAGCTACTTCTGGCAGTTGAATATCTGCATTCAAATTTTGTTCTGCATCGTGACCTTAAGGTCCGTATCTATTAGATTAGTCTTTTTAGTAACTTAATGATTTATGGACTTGACTTTTGGCACTATCTTGGCAGTGTTCCAATATTTTTCTTACAAAAGATCAAGATGTTCGCCTTGGTGAGTTCGTAATTTCCTTTGTTTTCTTGTGGTTTCTTATAGGTTCTCAACTGGCAGTGGTTTATCAGAGCTGGAGTTCGCTTACTTGGATAACAATGAATTTGATACTATTCCAGCTGATTTTTTTGATGGATTGAGCAGTGTTCGAGTCTTGGCTTTGGATTACAATCCGTTTAACAAGACTACTGGATGGTCTATTCCTGTGGAATTGGCTAATTCATTTCAGTTGACAAATCTTTCTTTGGTGAACTGTAATGTGGTTGGTCCATTGCCTGAGTTTCTAGGGAAGTTGCCATCTCTTGCAGCACTTAAACTTTCTTATAACAGATTGTCCGGTGAGATTCCGGCGAGTTTCGGTGAGTCTTTGATGCAGATTTTGTGGTTGAATGATCAAGATGGTGAAGGGATGACTGGTACCGTTGATGTTGTTGCTAATATGGTGTCTTTGAAGCAGCTTTGGCTTCATGGGAATCAATTCTCTGGGACAATCCCTGAGAATATTGGGAATTTGACATCTTTGAAGGATCTGAATCTCAATAGGAACCAGCTTGTTGGCTTGATTCCTGGGAGCTTGGCTGATATGAGGCTTGATAACTTGGTTCTGAACAACAATCATCTGATCGGTCGAATACCGAAGATAAAAGCCGGTAACTTTTCTTATGATTCAAATTCATTTTGTCAATCTAAACCCGGTATTGCTTGTGCTCCTGAAGTTGATGCACTTTTGGACTTCCTTGATGGGATGAATTACCCTATGAATCTTGTTTCTCAATGGTCTGGTAACGATCCTTGTGCTGGTCCATGGATGGGATTGAGTTGCAACCGAAATTCTCGGGTTTCTATCATCAACTTGCCTCGACGTAATCTTAGTGGTACACTTAGTCCTTCACTTGCAAAGTTAGAATCATTGATGGAAATTAGACTACAGGGAAATGATATCCATGGTACGGTTCCTGAGAACTTCACTGATCTGGGAACTCTGAGAACTTTGGATATAAGCGAAAACAATCTTGAGCCTCCGTTGCCCAAATTTCATGACAGCGTGAAGATCCTCATCGAAGGAAACCTGCTGTTGATCGGTAATCATACAAGAGAACCTCCTTCCCCTACTAGGACCAACAGTCCTGCACCTGCAGAATCTCCTCCAAGTGGTCGATCAGGTGGTAAAGAGTCACCACCATTGAGAAGAACACCGTCCCCGAATGGAGCTACCAAAACTAAGTCATCTACCACCACTGTCAGACAACCGGAGTCCCGATCCAATGGTTTCCAAAGATTCAAACTGCTAATTGTGGCAGGTACTGCAACCATTGCTATTATGGTTCTTTTAGTGGTTCTGTTTTATATATTCTTTTGTAAGAAGAGAAAAAGAGCTTCTGAGGTGCCTAGTTCAATTGTTGTTCATTCGAAAGATCCATCCGATCCCCAAAACATAGTTAAGATAGCTGTTTCCAATAACACCAGTGGAAGCCTATTTAGTAAAACTGTAACAAGCTCAAGTTGTAGTCATAGTGGTGCAACACAAAAGTCTCATGTAACTGAGTCCGGAAACTTGGTCATTTCTGTTCAAGTACTTCGGAAAGGGACCAACGATTTTTCCAGAGAGAACGAGCTTGGTAGTGGCGGGTTTGGGACCGTTTACAAGGGTGTACTTGAAGATGGAACTCAACTAGCAGTTAAGAGGATGGAAGCTGGGATCATAAGCAATAAGGCATTGGATGAATTTCAATCCGAAATAACTGTTCTATCTAAGGTCCAGCATCGGCATCTGGTTTCTCTTTTGGGTTATTCCATTGAAGGTAGTGAGAGGCTTCTTGTCTATGAGTTTATGTCTCAGGGTGATCTAAGCAAGCATCTGTTCCATTGGAAGAGCTTAAAATTGGAACCTCTATCTTGGAGAAGGCGGCTTAGTATTGCATTGGATGTTGCTAGAGGAATGGAATATCTTCATAACTTGGCTCGACAAACTTTTATACACCGAGATCTCAAATCATCCAACATCCTTCTAGATGATAACTTTCGAGCAAAAGTTTCGGATTTCGGTTTGGTGAAACTTGCCCCAGACGGAGAGAAGTCCATGGCAACTAGACTCGCCGGAACATTCGGATACCTAGCACCTGAATATGCAGGTTAGTAATCCAAGTTTGCATTGCAGGTGAATCTTTTATTCTATTATTTACATTTTAGCTTCTTAATGTTCTAATAATTCTTGTTGGTTGCAGTGATGGGGAAAATCAGTACTAAAGTTGATGTATTTAGCTATGGGGTGGTGTTGATGGAGCTAGTGACTGGATTAACAGCACTTGATGAGGGGCGCTCGGAGGAAACCCGTTACTTGGCTGACTGGTTTAGGAGAATCAAATCGAAGAAAGACAAGCTTTTAGCCGCAATCGATCCAGCTCTTGAAGTGAATGAGGAAACCTATGAGAGCATTGCCACCATAGCTGAACTAGCAGGCCATTGCACCGCAAGGGAGCCTTATCATCGGCCCGACATGAGCCATGCCGTGAATGAGCTAGCACCTTTAGTTAAGAAGTGGAAGCCGGTCGATGATGAATCAGAGTGTTACTCGGGCATTGATTACAACCAGCCACTTCCCCAGATGTTGAAGGTTTGGCAGGCGGCTGAAAGCCGAGGCGTGAGCTATACAAGTTTGGATGATAGCAAAGGAAGCATCCCGGCAAAACCTACTGGGTTTGCGGACTCCTTCACATCGATCGATGGTCGATAATGGCAGGCAAGCCTATGCCCTACAAGCAAAAAAATTATGGTTTTTTGAGCCATGGAACATGTCTATCATGATAGTGTAGATAAGAGAGTACATGTTTTTCCATATTTGTTCATAATTTCTGTGTATCAATTTATATTTTTCATTGCTGTGTAAAGGCAACTTAATGCCACAAATACCTGGTCCTGGAATAAAACATATATATGTTCATTAAAGGATTCCTACTAGTTTTTTTTTTTATTCAAGTCTTACTAAACTTAAATTGATGCTTGATTCCTTTTACACTAATATTATATCCATCAGTTCTCGCAAGTCAAATGATGAAACATAATCTGGAGTTTATTGTCAAACCTTGATCATCATTCCGTGAGACTTTTGTAGGAGAAATTGCCACTTGTTCTTGCAAGAGAAAATAACTTCATAATAAGAAAAAGCCACTGTTCTTTCTTTTTGAAGGAAAAGCAGAAGGTAAGTCATTGTTATAATCCTGTCAAAGATGAACACTTGATTTTATGTTAGGATGAACACATGATTTTACGTTAGGACGATGAACTTTAAAATTTTAAGAGATAATAAATTTAAGGAGTAAAAACAGATAAAAAAAACTTATGATATATAATTTATTTAAAATATTCAGGGGACGAATGACCTCGATCCATCCCTAGTCATATAAAAGGTGTCAATTTCCTTATTTATGTGTAACCAAACCCAAGGGATAATGCTGGTTTTCCTCAGCCTACCATTCTTTTAGTCAATCTGGTGACTGCAATTATTCAAAACGGTACCAAATTATTGGTGAAATCACGAATAGAGTAGCATTCATTCATGGACATGGCGCCGGCTATGACTCTTTTTGGTTACCATTGGGAAACCCATGTGCCCACCCCATGACCCAAGCTTCTTCCCGTTTAACTTGTGACCCCACTCTGCTTTCTTTTTTCATTCAATGAACTAATTTCAACTATACCTTGGTCATGTTTCAAGGCAAGTAAAGCTAGATTGTTCGATTTTAACATGTTATGTATTAAAAATAATATTTAAAATCAAGCTGTAGTGTTTATTGTTCAGCTTTAACATATTATGCATTAGAAATAATATGAGTTAAAAAAAACAAAAGTCTAAAATTACAAAACTGTTAAGTTGGAGGGACCGAAAAGTTATTGTACCATAAATAAATAAATAAGTCAATCAAGTTCTACTTTTACCTTTGGTTAACTACTAACCGTCTTGTTTAGTTACTTAACCACCGCTCTCTCTGCATACAAAAATTGTTAACTGAAAACAAAATTTAAAATAGTATAAACTACATGCTTAGTATCTCAGTTATTGTTTTTGTTTTATTAGTCACTTAATTATTATATTTTTTAAAATAATAGTCAACTTATGTTTTGATTTTATTTTGATCACACGTAGCTAATAACGTAACGGAACTACTAACCTGAATTCTTTTAATTTTTCAATGAAAATGTGATATTATCTTACGGTGACACTAGATATGATTTTAAAACAAAAAATAGTTAGATGACTTAAATGGAACAAAAGTGATAGTTGAGATACTAAATATGTAATTTACGCTTTAAAATAATTTCTCTTTTGGTTTCCTGCTATTGAGTGAAGTGAAAGAGAAAGCCTTCGAGCTCAACCGCATGTAAGAAAGGAGAGAATCGTAAACGAAGATTACCTCAGCTTTGAGAAATGATGATCGTTTAAAACGTTTTCTTCTTAATTTTTGTTGAAACGCATTGGCAGCATTGAAATTGAAGCGAAGAATCCGGCAATGTTGTGGAGATCCCGAGAAAAAAAAATGTTTTAAGACGAAAATGAGTTGACGTTCTTTTCCTTCAATTTTATTTTTCTCTCCTTAATCGCTCCTTTTGTTGGAAACGTCGATTTGGAAGGGGAAAAGTCGAGCAAAGAGTTAAAAGCAATGGAGTCTCGGATGGATCAGTACGAAATTATGGAACAGATCGGCCGTGGTGCTTTCGGTGCTGCCATTCTCGTTCACCACAAATCCGAGAAGAAAAAGTATCCTTCTAATTTCTCATCTAATAACATACATTTGTGTGTTTTCTTTTTTTCATTTTTGGTGATCTTTTCAAAAAATTCAGGTATGTGCTGAAGAAGATCAGACTAGCGCGGCAAACGGAGCGTTGCAGAAAATCTGCACATCAAGAAGTTAGTTAACTTATTTTGTTTAAATAATTTAATCTGTAATAGAGAGTATCGATTTACAAGTTGTAATTTGGTTCGTATATTGTGGATTGTAGATGGCTCTTATTGCGCGAGTTCAACATCCTTGCATTGTTGAGTTTAAGGAAGCTTGGGTTGAGAAAGTAAGATACGATACTACTCTTTTTGTTTTGTTTTTCTCTAGGATTCTGCAATTGATATCATCTTTTAAATAATAGCTTGTTCAGTACGTGGCTGCCTTTTATTGATGTTGAATTTGAATTTTGTGATTGTAATGTAGGGTTGCTTTGTTTGCATTGTTACTGGATATTGTGAAGGTGGCGATATGTGAGTTTCCAAGCTTCTTGAGGAGAACTTTGCTTTTCAATTGCCCCAACTTTTGCAATGTGTCAATATTGTTCGTTTCGTTGTTCTTTTTCTCACAGGGCAGGATTGATGAAAAAGTCAAATGGGGTCCATTTTCCGGAGGAGGTAATCTAATTTCTCTATACCTGTTGATTTCACTAGTTTGTTAATGTTTTATGATGTTAACACTGATGATTGTATCACTGCAGAAACTCTGCAAGTGGTTTGTGCAGCTACTTCTGGCAGTTGAATATCTGCATTCAAATTTTGTTCTGCATCGTGACCTTAAGGTCCGTATCTATTAGATTAGTCTTTTTAGTAACTTAATGATTTATGGACTTGACTTTTGGCACTATCTTGGCAGTGTTCCAATATTTTTCTTACAAAAGATCAAGATGTTCGCCTTGGTGAGTTCGTAATTTCCTTTGTTTTCTTGTGGTTTCTTATAGGTTCTCATTTTTCCCATTCTTTAACATCATTGAGTTATATTAGATATCCTACCTGATTGCATATTCTTTGATTGTTATCCTCAATTTTCTTTCTGGTCTGTACTGGTTTAGGGGATTTTGGACTTGCCAAAACTCTGAAGGCAGATGATTTGGCTTCCTCGGTATGTACTATGTGATGAAATACTCTTTTGATAAACTTTTTAAAATCTTTTCCAACCATCTCCGACGATTGAAAAGATGTTTTGGGCCATTTTCCCCTACCGTTTCTCTCTCTCCCTCTCAATTTTTTCTTTCTGCGGTTGTATAATAAGCTATGCTACTTAGCTCAAAACAGAGCTTGATATTAGTATTTGTGTTCTATTTACTGAGGCATCAATTTCCGTATGCATTTTGTAGCTAAAATCTTGTAACATGTGGTACTGATAGAGTAGCTAATTCATAACATATTCCACTCTTCCAAGGTTGGCTGTTGTCTAACATGTTGATGGACAGATAGAATAGAAAAATAATGTGATTTGTTAACAAGCATAGTGTTACTAATCGGTGCTATATCTGCCGAGAACAAATTGTTACTAATTGGAAAGCAAAATTATAATTAAGCCAACTTGACTAACTTAAGTAATCATTTTTCTTGTTTATGGAAAGAATTAAGAGGAATAACTATTGGTTGATCTTAGTTCTTTCTGGGGTGGACGAATCCATTACTGAGAAATTGAAATATAGGATGTATGCAACTTCTTGTTGCTTTGTCAAAGTGGGTGTATATTTAATGATAAATGAGATGTATTTAAATTTTTCAGTGGTCTTTTGTTGATATTTTATCAGAAAGAAGCTAAAAACAGCAAAAGGATTACATATTACAGTGCTGGAAATTAATCATCACTTATGTTGTGTCAGTTAACGTTACCCCATTGCATATGGGAATAGGGTTTTGTTGTTGTTGTTATGTTGTTTCAGTTATAAGTGACCAAAGACAAAAGTTCCATACACATCAGTATACTAAAACTAGGTTTTCTCATGCCCTCATTAAACTAGGTTTAATGAGGCCTTCCTTATTATCAACAAAAAAAAAAAACCTTTGGTCTCATTTTTCATTTTTGTATCTGTTCTTCCTTACCTAAGGACTTGAAAGATAATATTTGTTTTATGCATGACTCAGGTTGTTGGTACTCCCAATTACATGTGTCCTGAACTGCTTGCAGATATTCCATATGGTTTCAAGTCTGATATCTGGTCTCTGGGTATGTCATTTCCTATATATATAATTGACTTGTAAAGATTTCTTTTATCTTTTTTTTTTTTTTGCTTACTTGCTTCTTTTTGAACAGGGTGCTGTATGTATGAGATGGCTGCTCATTGTCCTGCATTTAAAGCTTTTGTAAGATTTCTCACAGTTCCTTTGGTTGAATCTGTTTATTGTTTTCTGAAATGATCTTATATAACCTTTTTAGGTGTAACATATATCCCATTTTGACAAGTTGAGGAAATTTTGAAATTTCTATGTTCTTTTTCCGTTCCTTTTATCTTCTGGTGAAATTTTCACCATTGCCAAATGAAACATAGCTTTCTATCTGTTTATCTGAATTAGGAATTATTCGTAGCACGCTTTGCTAGGTTCATAACTGTTTTTCATGAATCCATGCTCCAGTTTTTAAACAACGTTTTCAAAGTACTACTTGTATTGTGTGATGTGGTCTCCTTTGAGAGGTTCTTTGAAAATGCTAGTTTTTATAACTCTTGTTGCGATTGCACCAAATTGTTATGATCGCGTGTTTCAATTGATAGTGGAACTCATCTAAGGAAATTCTGGACCTTAGACTCGTTAGAGAGAATTTTAAATCTTTTAGTTTTTTTTTTTTTTGTAATTTTTGACTTCATACTTTTTTGCTTCCAAACTGGCCTCTTAAATAGAGGTTACCCTAGGTCAAATAAAAGAGTTACTAAAATAATTAAAAAGGAAGTCTCCTACTATGGCAAGACTTTTAATGATCTAAATTATAAAATACTCATAAATAAAACCTCATAATACTTCTCATGATAAAATATTAACTTCTAATAAAATACTAATAAACTTATTTTCTAATAATAACCTAATAATTAACGCTAATAATGATATTGGTTGCAAAGGCAACCAGTAACACCCTTGTTATGGATGCTGTTTGTGGCAAGCATTATGTTAGACGCAAGAAACCAGCTTGGGAAGTAGTTTGATTTTGATTGTCATTTTTTTTATTTCCTAAAGTTTCTTTGTTAGAATAAATAAAAGGAAATTAGGGTTTCTGTTATTGTATACATCTATTTAAAGAGGAAGTTTACCAAGGAATACAAGAAATCAAATTTTCAGTAAGTTAAAGGTAGGCTATTCCCAAGGATGCGACTGGTTCGGGGAATGTTATATACCTGAGGTAATGCAAGATAATTCGGGCAGGACGGGCCAGGTCCAAGCTTGGACTTGAATTGTTTTTTGAAATCGGGCCTCGTCCCAACCCATAGACACCTATATTCCAAAAAAAGAAAACCTAAAAGCCCCCTTAATATTTTTGCACATATATTTGTTTAATTTGCTTGGAACAATTTGTGTAAACAAAAACATATCACAATGATAACTTAGTAAACAATACTCTTAGGAAATCTTACATCCCTCCAACGAAACACGACAATCTTTCATCCTAGTAATGCTCCAAGTAATCTTACATTCAGGTGATACTGTTCACATAGGTAATGTTACATTCCGTGAACTAAACACACCCTTAGAGAGTTTCACCACCATAGGCAAGACTGAGTCGAAACAAGGACAAAGACCCTTATTTCAAATCTGATTCTCCCATTAGTCGTTCGATGATGTGATCCCAGACCTGTGATCATGCATCCTCTAACCATGTAATGAAAAGATTTGACTCAACTAATTTTTATCAAACTTCTTGTTCTAGGACATGGCAGGATTAATAAGCAAGATAAATCGCTCTGCAATTGGCCCTTTGCCTTCTTGCTACACTCCGTCCTTGTAAGTCTTAATTTTTTATTTTAGAGCTCACTGTAGTTGTATGCTTTAATAATGACCAAGAATTCTCTATGATTTTTCACGCTCTGACCGTGACTTTGTTTATCCTTGTTGCCTTTAATTATGGTTTTATATATTATGTTTGGAACTGTTTTAGATCTCTTAATGAAATTCTTTCTTACGTGTCCTGGAAACTGTGCTTTTTTAAAGCTTATCAATAATCTGTATTTTGGGGTTGTATGATTAATGCTCGTGTGTTAAATAATCTGCTCCTCATGTGCATGTAGTTAATTTGTATAATGTTCTTATGTTACACTCACAGGAAAACATTTATCAAGTGCATGCTAAGAAAAAACCCGGAGCATCGACCCAGTGTTAGTTATTTTTTGCTCAACTCTTAAGAATTTTATAACTGCATGACTTTAATGTAACAGTTTGAATTTTCACCTTGCTTAGGCATCAGAACTTTTGAGGCACCCTTATTTGCAGCCACATGTTGATCAATATAGCCCGTCATTCAGCTCCCCTTCACTGAATTGCCCTGCAGATAAGCATATTTCCTCTTGTCGTGATAACAGGAAAAATATGGATGAGAGTCAGAATAGTAGCAGCTCATGTAGTGATCAAGATAGTCTGATTTCGAATGACAGAAACACTTCCACAGTGGTTTCAAATGCCAACAATGAGGTCATTAACACTGATTCACTTTCTAATTATGTTAAAGATGGCACCGAGCAGCACCTGCTGCATGGTGAAGAGAACGGCCCAACAATATTTACTTGCAAAGCTGACGAGAAAGGAATGACGAAACATTATAATTTGGAACAGGGATTTAATGTTCAATCAAAGGAACCAAAAACCATCAAAAGCATAGGGAAAGTAGCAGAAAATGGTTTCGCAATGAGAGGCAAAAGCAAACAAGCAGTAGATGAATTGACTCAAAGAAATAATGTAGAGGCATCACCCAGAGTTCTCAAACCACCGGCTCGAACTTCAAAATCAATTGCAGATTCACCAACTGTTGCTTCTGCAAAACTACCTCAAGATGCTGCAAAAAGGATACCGGGAAATCATTTGAAGCACCAGGTACTTAGTGATTCTGATTTAATTTAATTCGTTATTACTATTGTCACTTATTTTGCAAGTTATTGTCTCCAGCTGCATTTAACTGAATCCTCTCCGAAGAGTAAACCTAGACATGAAGGACTTCCTCCGCCTGGACCTGGGAAGCATTTTTCTGAAGATGGACTACTTTCTAAGAGAAGGCAAAAAACTCCTTCCACTGTTGCAAGACCATCTATTACAGGAAGAATGAAGCATGCCGGAACTGATATTTCATATAGGGCAAGCAACATACAAAAGTTAGGATCTACAAAGATAAACCAGGAGCGCGAAACTATCTGTCATCAGCTGCTCAATGCTTGCCTTACAAATGCTTCTAGGGAGGTAAAACAAGAGGCTGTGATGGCTCTAACTGAAGGGACCCAAACGGATTGCTGCAATTTTGTTTCATCGTCCATCTCAATTCAGGCATTTGAGATTTGTGATGATGCTACAGCCCACTTTAGAAGCATGAAAGAACGGGCACATGATCATGAGATAATTGCCCACGTCAATAGCTTGGAGTCATATCCACCGTACAGCTCCCCTGCTCTGAAATCTGTTGGTTGCTTAACTGAAGAATCTGGTCCAACCCAGGATCTTCCGCATTCTAGTCCAGTTGATGCAAAAGGGAGTCCAAGTGCCCCGTTGGACCTTCCAGGCATGATTTCTGAAGAAGTATATGTTCCTAAAGACGATACTGCTAAAAGCAGGACAATTACCAGGGATGATGTTCCTTTGTTCCGGACAAGTAGCAGGGATGATGCCCCCACATGCAGCCCAAGTAGCAGGAATGATGCCCCTATAAGAAGGCCAAGTAGGAGGGACGATGCCTCCGCATGCAGCCCAAGTAGTCGGATTGATGCCCCTATAAGCAGGCCAAGTAGCAGTGATGATGCCTCCATAAGCAGCAGGTTAAATATAGTGGAAAATGCCCCTGTAAGTGGACCAGCTACTGGGGAAGATTGCCCCGTTAGCAGGCCAATTGTGAAGGATGAAACTGTGGCAAGTAGACTTAGTCACAGGCCTGATATGATGCTCCATTCACATATTTCTTCTACATCCAGTGGTGATGACAAGTTCACTGTAATGGAACTTCTCTCAGCTGTTGCAGAAACTTCACGTTGCATTTTCTCACCATTTTCATTCACCCAGAATAATTCACAGCGAGATAACAGATCAAATTTTCATAATCAAACAACTGAAAAACCAGTTGAGACCTCTCGTCCTCCAGCTTTAAATGAGGTTATACATATTATATGGCATAGTAGTTTCTGTGTTGGCAGTGAGCAGCCCATAATGGGAAAAGAAGAAATGGATATTCACAATGTGGATGTTGGGAAACTCATAAATGTTGTGATCGACGAATTGGATATGAGAAACATGACTAGTGCAGTGACCCTGAACTCATCTATTTGCCCCGAAGTTTCGAGCTCAAAACCAAATGTTTGTGATCATTCCGGTGTTAAAGAAATGGATGTTAGGAACTTTGGTTACTCGTATCGAAAATCCGATTCTCCCGAGCCTGCTAACCCCAGCTCTTGTGTGCCAGAAGAGGAGACACCAGCAAAGGGAACATTGGATATCAAGTCTTTTAGGCAAAGGGCAGAGGCACTCGAAGGGCTCCTGGAATTGTCTGCAGAGTTACTGGAGCAGAACAGGTTGGAAGAGCTCGCAGTTGTTTTGAAGCCTTTCGGGAAAGATAAGGTGTCCCCAAGGGAGACGGCTATCTGGTTAGCCAAGAGCCTGAAAGGAATGATGATTGACGACTCTGGACGGAGTTCATGAATACTATTAATTCTAGGGGGTAAGCGTTCTTTCTTTTTGTTCGTTTCCATTGTTTATTCACATAGCTGTTGTAACTGTTGGCTTATTGATTACCATGCTTATCCATTTACAATTGAAAATTATAAACGGAACATGCAGGTTGTCTTTGGCATCACCTTATAGTACATACTACATAAGGCAAATGTATTCATCTGCTACAGAACGTACTAAATTCAAGGCAAACTGCTACTGTTTATGATTTTTATTTGTTGCTTAAATTTATGTTATTTTTGGAGTCATATCTCCATAGAGATGTTCGAAAATTTGTCCGATACAGCTCTTGATAATGAATAATTAGAAGGCTTCAACTAAAAAAAAATATTCTAACTATGCCTTTTTTTTCTTTAAGTAACTACACTATTTTATAGTCAAATTAAATCTTTAAACTAACACCCATAACTTGTATACTGTATTCTTACGAGTTAAAGATGTCAAATCAAATATTCAAAATATTTCTTAACCCAAAATAGGTAAAATATGGTTTCTTTCACAAATTCCATATTTCTACATTTATTATAAAATAAATAATCAGAAGAAGTCAAAATATAATATTTCAACTTCTAATTCAAATCCGATTTCATGTAGTAACAAGCAGTTCTGTTTTGTTCATATAATAAATAAAACTGTCTAATTTAAAATCCTATTTAAAATACCTTTTAAAGCATGGTTTAGTATCATAATATATGTTTATACTAAATTATATTTAATACTAATCATACTTCTAGTTTGTAAACAGTTCATACTCGTATACATGCCAACTAGAAAATTTTGAAACACAGTCGGATGTCATTACTGTTACCTGTAAATATTCCTAGTGATTGATGTCAAGTTCAGCTCATTACTCCTTCCACTTTAATTTACCTACGCGTGAAAATCATCACACGCTAAGTATACACTTACTGAGGCATAAGAAGAGTAAGTAAAATATTTTAAAACATAAGTAAGCCATAAAAGATCAAAATACGAATTAAATCATATAAAATATATGTAAACGCATAAAACTGACTTGATAAGCCAAATTCATGTCACATAACCTGTAAAACATTATTTCATATGCATAACATACTTATCAATCGGTCTATTAAAAAATATTCATTCACAGCCCAATATATGACAAATGAGAATGCAAGGTACATAAATTGCACATAAGTGTTAAACGAAAGTATAGATACCGTAGTAACAACAATATTATACTAATATATCGAAATAGTAATTCACAAACTCATTATGAACACCATCAATGCACATATAATGTGAAAAGTACGCAAAGGTACTAATATGAAAATACAACAAATGAGTTAAACAAAATCAAACGATAACCATCTTATTTATGGTATTAACGAGTGCTCATTATGAACACCATCATTGCACACATATTGCTATAGTACACAGAATATTACTCCAAGTACACAAAGTACTGATATGAAAATGCAATGATGTATTAAACAAAATCGATCGATAACCATCATACTCAAAGTATGTCAAAATGCACCTATGACTCTCAATGTACATACAATAGGTTGTTATATCCCAAAACGCAGATTAAACATTTATTCTGAAACACCGATAGATGTTAAATAAAGTAAAATGCATCTAATTGTTTTAGGGCAGTTCATACCCTGATATTCTTCAATAAAATCATTTTCATAAACCTTATGAAAATTACTTCAGAATGCATTAAACAAATGCTTAGTAAAAACACTCGAGATTGACTAATCGCAAGTCGTCCTCATATCATATAAGTACATAGTAAATACACTCAATTTAACACTATTTATACAAGTCAAAATATAAACATCACTAAGCTTTAAGCTTGACCCTATGCTTTAAATTCGCTTCTATTAAGAAGTTCCTCACAATTTTGTATTCTGGTAGTTTGCACTACCATTAAAGAAATATTATTTTGTATTAATCTACTCACTCAAATATTATTATGTTTATACCACTGGAAACTAAACTCAAATACGGATCAAACCAAGTAAGTAACTTCTTCTATTTCAATTTTTACAATTTATAGTAAATTTTCAAAGTTGACTTACATAATATATTTTGAGCATAATATGATGCCCTATTTTCTGACCTATTCTCGATTAAAAGTTCATATATTTTTTATACTCCTCGAAATTAGTAGCCGTTTATTTTACACAAAACTAGATTGATATAAGAATTCATTGATATAATATTCATCCTCTAATAACTTTCGTATAATTTATGGTGATTTTCTAAACGTACTGTTCAGAACATAATTTCTAGGCAGATTTCACCAATTTGTATTTTCAGCTTATTCACTAATTCTATTAGCTCAACAAATGAACAAATATGCATGAACCACAAAACACATAATAATTAGGAGTCACTTCTTACCATAGTAACTCTGTCACTGACTCATTGCAAGTCAATGTTTGTTCGATAACATAAGTACAAATTAAATTTGCACTCACCTGATGTCTTTAGCTTGCAAACCTTCCTTAGATATTCATATTTCATCCTTAAGCTTCTCCAAACTTTAAGAATGTTTGATATTGATTTCAAGCGCACAATCTAAATGAGAACCATTACAAAACATATACAAATTCAAATCACATGTTAGAATCTTACTAACGTAAGCACACATTATAAAATAAATTCCTAAAAATCTTCCGATGCTTGTTCGATACTAATTTCATGTCACAACATAAATATTGACCTTAACACTTCCAATTGACCATTCAAATTCCATTTAATCCAAATTTCACATAACATTTTCACTTAAGCTTCCAACTTTTCCATATTTGTAATTTAAGCCTCAACTTTTACCAACTTCCCAAAATAATCTAATTTCACATCCTAACTTCAATTTCAACACTCAAACGTTAATTTTCAACATACTAAATCAACTATTGAACCATTACACATAGATCCCATAATTTTCCATAATTATCAGATAGGTCCCTCAACTTTTATAAAATTACAAAATGGTCCCCAAATTTTTTATAAGGCTTGTAGAATACTTTCTACATCATTTCTATCCCCTACATAATTTTTTCATAATTTTTCTCATCCTCAAAAACCAAGGCTAAATAGTACAAGTCTAGGGATCCATGATTTCACTTGGTTTTGATTCAATTCGAGCATGAAATCAACCTCTATTCAACCTTATAAAATATCTACAATCAAATCCATAATCAAATTTCATCAAATCACAACTTTTCCTAATTTTTAGGGTTATGCCGAAACTACCAAATGCATTTCTAGGAGATTTGGTCTTGATTTAACCATCAAACAAGCTTGGAAATGATTCAACAACCTCAAAAACCTCAAAAACCATCATCAATTCCATAAACCCTAATATGAACATAAACCCTAGAATTTGGGATCTTTGAGCTCAAGCAAGATTAGCATGCAATACGGTACCAAATGATAAAGCTCATAGACTAAAACAATTTTCTATTTCACTTCTAAATCTAAAAACCTAATAAGTTGGCTTAAAAATAAAAAATAAAAATTTTCTTACTTAGGGTATGAAGGCCACGAAATGGAGGAGAAAGATGACCAAGTGTTCATGAAATTTTAGTTAATTTCATGTTAATTTATCATGTATTTAAGCTTAAATGAATATGAAATTCATTTAATGGGAAATGACAATTTTACCATTAATGAAACTTGATAATTATATTCATACCAAGCCACATAACCCTTATCATCTTTATAAAGTCAAAAATGAACAAAATATTTTACCATTTTCCAATATAACCAAGCAACTTTCCAAAAATTGTAATCTTGCCACTTTGATCCAACAGTCCAAATTAAACATGGAAATAAGTTCTCAAATCCAATGGTCCATAATATTTTCCATCATTTTAAAATGTGGAAATAATATTTTTAAGTCTAATTTATCATCCTTCAAGTTTTCCCAAAATTTCTATTCGATCTGATTTATCGAATTCATATCGAATTTTAACAATTTCTAGTTTTTAACATAAATTCCGAATTGAATAAGATTTCAATAAAACCCCATTTTCAAGAGTAATCTATCCATTTGTGGAATAAAAATTGATTTTGGGAAAATTACCACTTTATTCCCTAAACTTTTCCAAATTTTATACTTTGGCTACTAAGTTTTCAAAACTTACATTTTGGTCACTAACCAAAATTTTGGGGTATTACAGCTTTAAGTATCTAAACTAATTTTTTTTTATCGAAATAAGTTCTTAAACTATAATTATTTTTATTTTAAGCCCCTAAACTATTTTTTAGTAAAAAAATTATCTAATTTTATGTGACATGTCAACATTTTATCGGCCTAAATTTTTTTTTCTAATTGAAAAAAATGATAGGAGTTAAAATTGTTAAATATAATAGTTTAAACTTAGATTGACAAAAAATAGTTTAGGTACTTAAAACAAAAGGAATATATAATTTGAGTACTTATTTTTACTTTAAGTCTAATTAGAATATCATAATATAAATGTAACACCCATTTTCGTCTCATTTTTTTTTATTTTTTTTATTTTTTATATATACATACATATATATAATATATATATAGTTTTTGAAACATTTATATATTATATAATTTTTAAAACACTTTGAAAATAAATATAATATATAGTTTTTAAAACGTTTTTGAAAATATATATTATATGGTTTTCAAAACATTTTGAAAATAAATATAATTTTTTAAAAAGAAACATTTTGAAAACATATATATATTATATAATTTTGAAATCATTTTGAAAACTTATAATATATAATTTTAAAAAAACATTTTCGAAAACTATATAATTTTGAAAACGTTTTTAAAAATATATATATAATATATAATTTTAAAATACTTTTGAAAATATATATATTATATAGTTTTAGAAAATATTTTATATTATTATTATTATCGTTTTTATTTATTTATTATTTATTTTTATTAATTTTATTTTCATTTTAATTGACTAGGTCTATTTTGGGGTCCAAGTGAGCTAAGTTGGGCCTGACCCAGCCCAGAGCTCAGATTAGGGTTCCAACGTATGTTCAAACAGGCGCCGCGGAGGTCAAGGGTCAGTCACACCGGCCACCGAGATTTCTGGCCGAGGAGATCGGGACTGACCCATCCCGAAATCCCCGGCCAACTAACCACG